ACCTACTCATATGCCCCCTCAATCCAATTCAACTTGGCAGTGTTATTCCAGGGCCTACTGTGTACTCCAAGTGCCCTTCTCTTAACCTAAAGTCAAAGCAAGCTTCCGAACTCTCCAACCCTTCTAGAACATTCCACACTCCTGATAGGCAGAACTGGTGCATCATAAGCAGCAAGCCTTGAATTTTTTACATTGATCACTCAGTTCCTCTCTCTCCTCAACGGAGTTTGATTTCATTCAACCCATTCTCCCAGAACTGAGGAACAATCTGGCATAGGTGGCCAGAGTTTCTTCTAAGCTAGACTTGCAAGCTTTTGCCCCATTTCCCTGGTGACCAAACCTTGGTACAGACTCTCTGTGGGTGGAGAAGAGATGGATCTCGGCCACAGAGGGCCACCTTCCTGTGACCTGACCCCTGGGAAGGGAGCCAGTCACCAGAAAGAGAACTCATTGTCTGTTGAGTGTTTGTCTCCCTGAATCCCAGCTCAGCCGCCTCAGCCGGGGCTGGTGGGGGCGGCTGTTCTGTCTGAAGGATGGTATCCAGTGGGCAGCAGAGAGACGTGTGATGACGGGTGGGTCAGAGCCTCATCCTAGGATGCCCCAGGCTATCATGAGACAGCCGGGTGGAAGGCAAGAGACCAGAGACCCAGCATTCACCTCCAACAGGGAGGCAGGTGTGTGTGAGCGTGTGTGAGTGTGCATGCACGTGGGTGTGTGTGCACATGTGTGCATGTAAGCATGTGGATGTGCTTCCTCTCTTGGAGGGCAGTGTCCCAGCACCCTGCAGCCCCACGTTTCCCCTGAGCTACACGATGCCTGTATAATGAAAGTGATACCTCCTTCTGACTATTTGGTAAACAGCGTTTTGTTTCGCGTCCTGTCAAGTAGTCAGGCGCTGTTAAACAGTCAGGAGGTGGCTGGTGTCCTCGTCCCCATGCTCGTGCCCTCAGTGGGGACGACTCCAGTGCGTCACCAGTAAATGCTGGTTTAAGAAAGATGCTCTCCATCAGGCCGAATTTTCTAAGAAGAGGAGTTTTTCTCAGGGATGGCTTGTTTTTTTGGTACAAGTTCAGCTGGGAAGGATGTTCATTATCAAATCTCTTTGGAGCCTCTATGGAGACGATCCTACGATTGTTACTGTGCTACAGAAATAAGTTGCTCAAGAAGAAGCCATCCTTCGTTTCTGAGATAAATCCTACTTAGGCGCATAGAGGGGGAAAAATCATTTTCCCTCTACCCTTCTGAGCTCCTGGCTGAGACCCCTGTAATAAAAGACAGATTAACCAGAGAAAAACAAGCACAGTTTATTAACGCGTCAGCCTCGTGTGTACACGGCAGAGACCCAGGGAAAATGGGTAACTCCCTGAAGTGGCTTAGAATTCAGGCTTAAATACCATCTTAATACGGGAAGGGGAGAGGGATGTGGCCTCTCAGGGGAGAGGAAATGACTTTTAGGAAAGACGACTGAGCCTTAGAAGACAGACGGGAGGTGTGATCTTTGCGACAGAGTCTGTCTGACTGTGGTGTCCACTTCTACTAGTCTCCCTTCTGTGACAAGAGTCGATCCTCCCTGACGATGAAGCTCACAGGGGGTGCCTGCAACATCTGAGTTCCTTTTGGAGGATCTGTCTTTAGGCAGATGAGGAGAGTTCAGAGAAGCCTCTTCAGCCTCTGCTGTTTTTCAAGTGCCGGCAGCTCAAAGTAACCAACACACCAAGGCGGCCTATTTTGGTGTGGCACGTGCTGCCCTTCATCCCCCCTTTGAAACCTCCCCAGGCAGTTTCTGGTCCAGGAACCGTGCTGGCAGATCACTCCGTCTCTTAGCCCCAAGAATAGGTCGGCTCAGTTAGCTGTGTCTCATTTCGGGCCGCAATGTTGCAGGGGGATCTAATGATGCGAACAGTCAGGCGTTGACTACGAGGCATTTCTACAGGAACAAAGGAAAACGAAGGTTAATGGTTGGAGCGGACTGTGAATCAGTTTTAAGTCCAGAGGGCCGCCAGTCGAGGTTTGTAGTTGTTGAGCTCAGAGCATCTTTCGCAGTTCGATTGCCATCATTGGTGTCACCAGGTGTTCCAGTGACCTTTCTGAGTGGCCCACACAGCAACAGGCTGTGTGGACAACGAAGGCTGTCCACGCGGGAGCTGTTGTGGTGGTTTCCCTGAAGTTTCCATCACGTCTTCCAGCCTCAGGTTGCAGGGCTTCCGGAAAAATGTGGCTTTGGTTCTTAGTGATTCCAAGTCAGAAGGGTGGGAGATATTTGGAAATGTTGGTTTGGAGAAATGTAGGCAGATATTTGAGGAAACTGGAAGAATTCAGCATCCAGTCCAGTTTACAGGTAGATAACAAAATCTCAATGACAGTGAACAGGACTAGAATCTGATATCCACAGGGGTGTGTTACAGCTTTCTCCTGAAACACAACTTTCCTCTCTACAATCACCCCCATTCCTAAGATAATCACCATAAGACTCATTTTTCTGCAGAATAAGTCTAATCTCATTAATTTGGCCTGATTATTTACATAATCAGCAAGAATAGCGATGACCACATAGGCTCTTTTTGAGTCTGCTCCCCTGGAACTTGTGACAAGGAATCTCAAACTAGACACCTGTGCCTCTCCCTCCCCTTTGGTATTTGGTACTGCCGTGGTGCTGCCTGGTATTTCAGTTTTGACCACCACGCCTACCTCCGTACGTGGGATTGGTTTGCAGTTATCTTACTGTGTGCTCTCAGGGTGAGAATGAATGCCTGAGACAGCTCAGGTGTGAAACCAGGTGGGCTGCTTTTTCTCTCTCGTCCTCTGCTCCAGAAAACTTACAGACAACTCCCAGGTGAGCTTACCTGTCCCTGGAGCACTTTTAGGAGGAATTTCCTGAAGAAATAGTGGTCTCTTCAGGTTTGCTATTTCTTCTAGTCCAGTTTGAAATTTTATATTTTCTCAAAAACTAATCAATTTCATCAAGATTTTCAACTGTGCTAGTGTGAAATATAAAGAATAAAATGTAAAAATAAGGGGCCGGCCCAGTGGCGCAAGCGGTTAAGTGCGTGCACGCTGCTGCGGCGGCCCGGGGTTCACCGGTTCGGATCCCAGGCGCGCACCGATGCACTGCTTGGCAAGCCATGCTGTGGTGGCGTCCCATATAAAGTAGAGGAAAATGGGCATGGATGTTAGCCCAGGGCCAGTCTCTCTCAGAAAAAAAAAAAGAGGAGGATTGGCAGATGTTAGCTCAGGGCTGATCTTCCTCACAAAAAAAAAAAAAGTAAAAATAAAAGTCTTATTTTTTCTCTTAAATTTTCCAAAGGTTCATCTATTTTCTCGAAGATTTTTTCCCCTGAGTACAGGTCTTGAATCTATTTATCCATTCTTCTATATTTCTGTTTTCAGGCTCAGAAATGTCTGTGTTCGTCTTTATTGATGACTCTGCTGTTTACTGCATCCTGCTTTGTTATTCCTTTCCTTCTGGAGTTGAATGCTCAGTTCATTTGCTCTAATTCTGTTTTAATGGTGAAAACATTGCAAGTTAAGGGTTTGCTCTGACTCAGCCTCTAGCCGGATTCCTCAGGTTTCACTGTGCAATAGTCTCATTGTTGCTACTATTTTTAAATATCCTCTAAATGCAGTTTGGATTCCTAGTTGACCCCGTGGTTATTTCAGAATGTTTTTAAATTTTCTAAAAGGTCTTTTTTTAAGTTTTATTATTACATTTTAATTGCGTGATTCTCATAAAAGGTCCTGCTCAATTTTGCTTATTGGAACTTTCTGAGGTTTTCATGGTGGTCCATTTTACTATAAAACGCTGTCATGGTCGCCTGGGCTTTGATTGAAGAAGTTGTATCTCCTAAAGGTGTATTCGCAGTGGAATGCCCCTCTGTTGATGTGACCTTATCGATTCTACCGTTCAGCTCTCGGTGGCTTATCGACACTTCCCTGGCTCTGAGCGGCCAGTTCTCTTCCCCGGCGCTGGCAAGCGTGTTCCGTCAACTGCCCTCTGTCGTTACCAGGGCTTTCACTTCATCTAAAGGAAAGAAGCACATCTTGTTTTAATTCCACTAGTGTTCCTTTTGTTTCCCCAAGACTTATATTTATCCAATTACTGGTCAAAAGTAAAATGACGTCTTTGGGTAACCCTTCCCCACCCACGTGGAAAGCCGACTTGTGCGTTTGCCTCTGCTCTTTCCACTTCCTCCCACAGTGCTCAGTCTTTGCTAACTTACTTTGGATTTGAGACCCAGATAAACACTATTAAATTGTTTTTTCAACAATATACAGTTTCTGTAAAAAATATTTGTGTGTGTGTATTTAGCTCTGTAACCATGTTGACAGTTTTCAGTGTTAAATTTCTGTGTCTAAATACTGGTCCTGGGTCATTTCTATCACGGCCCCCTGTTCTTGAGGTCCCCACTGTGAGCCGCCTCCCAGGGACTGAACTGTGTCTTCCAGTGTCTCTGTCAAAGGAGCAAGAAGATGGGATATCTTCTCAGTCTTTGTGCATCCAAAAATGTCTGTTGCCTTCCTAACGGATGAAAACTTGGGGGCATAAATGTATTGAGTCCCAACTTTTTTCCCTCAAAACCCCGCAGAGGCTGCTCTGTTCTCTTGCCTTCATCTTTTCCTGGGTTTGATGGTGGGACATTAGGAGCGTTTGCATCAGGGCCTTGGCCGTTTTAAACCATCCTTTCTAGTCCTTCTCAGTGGTGTCATAGGTCTCTGTCGTGTGTCCCACGCTCCCTGCAGAGCCTTTTCACCTGGAATATTATGTCTTGCCCCTCCCTGTTACTGGTGGGCCCCTGGACGTGTGGGTGGTGGCACTCAGTAGATCCCTGACCCCTGACTGCCCTTTCGGTTCCCAAAGTGGATGAAGCATTAGCTGTGGTCCCAGCTGTACCTGAGAACAGCTACTGCGAGGAAATCAGGGCGGGGAGGAGGCAGGAGTGAGAAGCGTGGCTCCCGCTCTCTGCCCCAGGCTGACCCTCCTCTCGCTTTGCTCCTCCTTCCAGATCCGATCTGACAAAGACAACGACATTCCCATCCGGTACAGCATCACTGGCGTGGGTGCAGACCAGCCCCCCATGGAGGTCTTCAGCATCGACTCCATGTCTGGCCGGATGTACGTCACTCGGCCCATGGACCGGGAGGAGCGAGCCTCCTACCATGTGAGTGTCCACAGCCTGGGTTCCCGACTGTGGAAGGAGCACACAAACCTGAAACTATACCGGAATCACCCGGAAGGCTGCTTAAAACCCCGTGCTGGGCACCACCCCAGAGTTTCTGGTTCAGGGAGTCCAGGGTGGGCCTGAGAACTTGCACTTCTAACACATTCACAGGCAGTGCCATCAGGTCTGGGGCCACACGGGGAGAAAGACAGATCTAGAAGGCCTGGATCCACGCCATCTCCCTGGAGCTCATCGGTGCTGATGGGTGGTCCCGCGGCTGCTGTGCACACCGGGGGCCCTTTCTCTGGAGCTTGTCGCTGATGTCATCCCCTCCTCTCCAGCTCTGGAGCAGGCGCCCCCCCCCCAGCCTTTCCATTCCTCCTGTCTCTCTGAGAGCAGAAAAGCGCCTCTGAAGTTAGAGCTGCTCTGGTTTCGTCTCAGAGCTGTGCGTGCAGAGGAAAATGGATGAGGAAATGAAGGCTGCAGGGCTCGGCTACAGGCGCTGTTGACTCCTTTCCTCTTTGGCCTCACCAATGTGGTGGCTAAACAGAGAGGGACCCTGGAGCAGGGGTGGCAGTAGAGGGTCTCACCCAATACCGTGTGGCTGGTTCCCTCTCTGGGCTCTGCCACCTCATCTGCAAGATGAGCGTTTGCACCAGCTGGAGGTAGCATAGGCTGGAGCCCGACCTCAGGGCCAAGTCCCACTCTCACCAGGTGAGACCTCGGGCACTCACCTCTCTGGCCTCAGTTCTCTCTCCTGCAAAGAGAGGGGCACAGTCAAGGACAGTCGAGGCTGCCTCATCAGGATGTTCCAAGGACTGGGGAGTTAACGTGCAAAGTGTTTAGAACAGGGCCCGGCAGTGTGTGCAGGCTGTAAGGCTGGTGTGTGCGTCTGTGGCGATCATCTGAACTTCAGCCCCTCGATTGTAACTTGGAAACTAAGACCTTCATCAAGAGGCTCCAGTCCCCAGCTCTCTGCCCTCATGTTGTTGCATTAACTGGCCCCAGTTTCACTTGGTTTCAGCCCACAGTGCTGAACGTGACTTGATTCCGCTGCTCCACGTGTTTGCTGGGTGTTTGTTTTGGGGTCTATTGTCCACCTCCTGGCACTAGAAGGAGGGCTCCACGCTGGCAGGGCCCCTCAGGCTCATCCACACCTTGTCCCCAGGCCCCAAAACAGAGCCTGGCCCTTGGGGAATGCTCACTAACCATTTGCAGAGGGGAGGGAGTTGGGGGGGGCAGTTGAGTTCTGTCGTTGGCAATGGTGGCCTCCCTGATGCCCCATCAGAAGCAGGGTCCTAGGTGCTAAGCTGAATGGACCTGGGGAAACCCACATTGGGAGGCGGGTCAGTCCCCTCTGAGCCACGAGGGTTTCCTCTCTCAGACTGGTCTCCCAAGTCCCAAGTGCCTGCAGCTTCACAGAGACTAGTTGGCATGGACAACGTGGCAAGGGACTTCTGCACGTCCTGTGGTTTCCTCCAGTGAGCGGACATGCAGGTGTGGAATCCAAGTCAGGCTCACAGCACCAGAAAGCAGCTCCCCAGTTCACTGGGTTCAGACATCCCTCTTCAGAGCAGCTTCCAAAGGAAGCCTTGGCTCGTACTTCCAGACTCTTCCCTCTTGTGTACCCTACTTCACCTCCTTTCTACCTACCCATCCATTCATTCATCCATCTGCCCACCACCTATCCACCCATATCCCACCCATCCAGCCAACCATTTAACTACTGACTCATCCACCCACCACCTATCCACCCATCCATCCGTCCATCCATCCATCCATCTATCCATCCACACATCTATCCATCCACCCATCCATCCGTCCATCCATCCATCCACCCATTCATCCATCCACACAGAGGACACCTTTGCATCCTCCTCAGAGGGCACCATCTGAGATGGACATCTGGGTGTCCCTCCTGACTGCCTCTCAGATGGTGGGGGCCAGAGTCATGGAGAAGAAGGAATTAAGAGGGAACTAGATCGTCTTGTTAGCTGATTGGAAAAAAAGCTTCCCTTGGATGCCTGAGCAGCTAAAGGAAATCATTGTATCCTTTTTGAGCAAAACCGATGATGCTGTTCACAGGGCTGAGGACTGTGGAGGAAAACAATTTGGAAGCAGGTGTTTGTGATGTGCATGCCCTGATGTTGGGGTTGTCGAGTTATTTTAGGCCAAGGCTCCAGGACCACAGCGCTGACGTGGACACCCTTAGGCAGGGGGCAGCTGCAGCTCAGGCACGCTCTGCTATGGCTTCCGGGCAGGCAATACCAGGGGCACCTTCCCCCTGGAAGGGCTCTCGGGGCACCCCGTCCACTCTGTGAAGCCCGTGTCAGAGGCTCCATGAAATCAGGTGTACGCTGTGCCTTTGGCCATTCCCACACCACACACTCACCAGGGGCCAGACGCTGGGAATGCCCCTTCCCTCCCCCCCGTGCCCTCGCCCCTTCCTCCCTTCCTTCCTTCCCCTCTCCTTTCTCTTCCCTATCCTCCCCTCCTTCCTTCTCCCCTCCCCTCTCTTTCCCCCCCTCTTTCTTCCTTCTCCCCTCCTCCCTCTGTCCCTCCCTCCCTCTCCCCTTCTCCCTCCCTTGCTGTCTGTCCACACGCCCCTTCTGGAATGAATTGTTCCAGGTGTTTGTGCCCCAGGCCCAGAGGGATGCTCAGCCAATGACTGGGGGCAGGTGAACATGTACTGAGTGAGAAGACAAAGAACGGGGGAAGAAGGGTCAGCCCCCACCCCAATCCCCACCCCCTGAGTGAGCAGTGACTCGAGGTCTCTGCCCAGCTCCCCATCCCCCACAGCAGCCCCTTCACTGTTCACCTGGTCAGGCCGCCCCACCCCGCCCTGTGGTCTCCGTCCTTCATTAGCCGATCACCCCAGGAGCCTCATCCGGCATCCAAGCGCTTTGCCTCCAAACGCTCCATGAGGAGGCCACTTGCTGATCAAGTTCACCTTGGTGAAGATTAGACAGATCCGTTTTAATTATCGTGTTGCTTAGAGAAATCCTCTCCTTCTGGGCCGGGCCTCCCTCTCGCTCTCCTCCTGGCCGGAGGCTCCCTCTCTCTTCTCCTGGAGGGCTCGACTGCAGGGCTGGCCCCACCCATCCTTTGGTTTCCTGCTAGAGTGTGTGTCTCTGGTGTCTCTGTTTCCAAAGTTGCTTTAGGGAGGGGCAGCCCTCGGCAGGGCACCTCTCCTGCCTCCTTTCAGCCTCTGGCGAGCCCTGCTGTCCCCACTGTCAAGCTGCAGCCAGGTCTGCTCAGGCTTCTTCTTCTGGATCTTCAAGACTCTGCTGACAGAAAACCCTTTTCATCAGCCAGGGGCCGGCTGTCCCCTGTGCCTGCTTCTCTGGGCACTGGGGCAGCCATGGTGAGCTTGGCGGGTGGGGGCTGATCTGGGCCAGGCTCTTCTCAGCTCCTTACCGCCAGGATGACTACAGAATTTCCAGGTCCCAGTGCAAAATGTAACGAGGGGCTCCTCGTGCAAACTTATTAAGGATTTCAAGACGGTGAGAGCAGAGCATTGACCCAGCACGGGCCCTGTGTGACTTCCTGGGTCACAGGCCATGGAGCTGGCCCTGTGTGCCATCTCCAGGCTCATGGCCCTCTTTTGAGGGGGGATCGACAGTGAGGCCATTTTCACAGAGGCAAGACTTGGGAACCTGCAGGTCTCACACCTCATCCTTGTCTGGGTCTCCTGTGCCCTGTCCAGGCCTGGGTGCAAACTGCTCCGGAGCCACTGGGTGTTAACTTCCATTCCTGGAGGCCCCCTCCCTGGCTCCTAGGCACCCCAACACCGCTGCTCAACGCTGAGAGCACCCACGCCCACCCTCATCCCCACCTGCACCCTCACTGCCACCTGCACTCACACCTGCACCCCCCAGGCCGGGTGCTGGAAAGGCAGGAACCAGGTTTTGGGAAAGTGCTTTGAGACCTCCTAACGAGTTCTCAGCCCACCGTTAGCAGCCACAGCAGGTGCACAGAACCAACTAGACAATTCAGCCAACACTGATGTTCAACCAGCCATGCAGCAAGAAACACATCATCTTCACGTGGCTATTGGCTCCCCACATGGGCTGTGTGCTGCCATCAACACGTTTACAGGACGAGAGTCAACTCCTCTTGTCTGCCAACAATACGTGTAGACTGAGAGACAGGGAGAGAGAGACGGAGACAGAGAGACAGAGAGAGACAGGGGAGAGACAGAGACAAAAAGAGAGAGACACAGAGAGAGAGACAGAGACAGGCAGACACAGAGAGACGGAGGAAAGACAGAGAAGAGAAACAGCGATAGAAAGAGAGCAAGAGAGACAGACAGAGGAAGGGAGACTTGACCTGCAGACAGCAGAGCCAGTTAGTCTCAAAGGATCTAGCCGTTCGACACATACTTCTGTGTAAGACTTTTCTCCCCAGACCAGAGCTAGGGCAGTGCTGCCTCTCCAAGGGCAGCGTCAGCGTGCAGGGCCTGGCGCTGCAGCCCTGGCAGGTGCGGGTCAGACAGGGCGTCTGGGATCATGGGCAAGACAGCACTGCAGGGCTGTCAGTCAAGCCCGTTTCGGGAGGACACAGACCCCAGCGCCTGCTGAACACAAAGCCATTCCTGAGAGAACCCACACAGAGTAGAAAGGCCTCTTCCTTTCATTTTATTTTAATTGCTTTGTGGAAACCTTGAGCTCAAAACTAGACCCGCTTTTGGTATTTCTGGTTAACTGTTTCCTCTGCAATTCACACCAAAGTTGGCGTTGGAATTCCCACAGACTCCCTGGAAAGGGTCTCTGGGCTCAGCCCGCCCATAGCCTGCCGGAGCCGTTCATGCTGGTACCACCCGCCTGGCCAAGGGACAGGGGCCTCCAGGACCTCTGCTGGCAGTGCAGCTCTGTGCACTGAAAGCTTTAGGAACAGCCTGCAGTCCAGCTCACAGCTTGGCCCATGGCGAGTGGACCAGGTCGCAAGTGCTGGAGGCCGGGAAGGCCGATCCAGGGAGCAACGTCCTCTGCCCGCCTCGCTCACGGACAGGAATTGTCCAACCCCAGGGGCCAAGACCGTGCTGGCGTCATCAGAGGATCTAGCTGCACTTTTCGACACACCTCCATTTCTCTGTTTGTTCTTTTTGCCTGACGACTCCACAGCCTCCCTCAGCACCAGATTCTGCCCAGGAAATGCATGGTGTCTCTGCAGCTAGACGGTTCTGCATCAAGCCCCCATGGAATAGCTGGGAGTCAGGCTGGCGATCCCTAAGGAAACGGGGTGGCATGCCTGGCCTGGAGGAGCAGTGGAGAAGCCCCCGAGGGCACCTGGGCCCCTCCAGGGATGTATGCAGGCCCCTCCCCCTCCTCACCCAAGCCAGCCAAAGAGGAAGCTGGAGGGTGGGAGAGCTGGTGAAATGATGGGGACCCCCACCTCCAGAGTTGGGAAGCCCCCTCCAGGCAGTTGCCACACCCCTCCTAAGACTCCAGCATGACCCCCTCTCAGTACTTCCACTGCACAGGACGCCCCTCAGGGCTTTTGGGGGCAGCTGGGCCAACCAGCGGGGTGTCAGTTATCTATGCTGCATGACAAACGAGCACAGACGGAGTGGCTGTAAACAAACGCCCATTTATTAGCTCATGTTCTGTAGGTCAGGAGTCTGGCGGGCTCTGCTTAGGGTCTCGGAAGTCAGAGATCAAGGCGTCGGCCAGCCTGGGCACCTACCTGGAGGCTCTGGGAGAATCTGCTTCCTGCTAGTTCAGGTTGTGGCAGATTCAGTCCCGTTTCCTCGATGGCTGTCCACATGGGGCCACTCTCACCTCTTAAAGGGCGCCTGCAAGTCTCTGACCCCCACGCCTACTGCCAGGGGAGAAGGTGCTCTGATCTTAGGACCATGAGGCTAGCCCAGTCCCACCCACATTATCTCCCCGTCTTAGAGTCAACCGTGCCACAGAATGTAACCCAATCACAGTGACCCCCACTGGATTCGTATCTGGGGATCTGTGCCCCATATCCTGGGGGGCCATTTTAGAGCTCTCTCTGCCCCTCTGGGGCTGTTTAATCCCGTCCCGTGTTCTGCCCAGCACCTCGGCTGACGAGGGTGGTGAGACAGCGTCTCCCACCTGAGAGCAAGCTGATGAACTGTGGACACGGTCACTTTAAGACACCCACTTGTAAACATTCAAATGCAGGAAATTAACAAGTGGTCACTGTTTGCTTTGCAAGATGATTCTCTAGAAGATTCTTTTAAGGATTCCATAAGTAAGACGTGCTATCATGTCCTGCCACACACCGTCATCTTGGGCAAGTTTCCCAATCTTCCTGAGCCCCAGTTTCGCATCCACAAAATAGAGGTTGGAACAATACCAGTCTCACAGGTTCTTGTGAAACTTGAGGTGGGCGAGCGTGTGTCGAGCCCTCGGGAGCTGCCCAGTCCTGAGCGAGAACACGTGAGTGCTGGCTGCCAGTGTTGAGGGAAGACAATCCCCAGAGTCTGCTCTGGGCGACTCTCAGGGCCCACACGAGTGTTCCAGGCTTGGTGGCCCTGAGAGATAACTGATGGCCCACAATTAAGATGTGAAGAAGACAGAGCCTCCACAGGGAAGAAAGTGAGGTCCTCCGAACAGCAGGACGTCGTTCACCAGCAGGCACGCACAGTCTCCCCCAGCACTCACTCCCACGCCGATGCGAGCCCAAGCCCGTGTGTTAATGTTTCCCCATCTTATCTCCCGTGATAAGAAGAGACAAGTGTCCTATTCAAAGCTCGCAGGAAATTCACTTTGCACGTGATGCTCAGATTTGCACATCACAGAAAGCTTGGACGGCTCCTCTGTCGACCTCACTTGGCTCGACCACCAAGGCGGGACCTTCGGCAGTCCCACAGCGATGTGCCCAGCCTGAGAGATGGGGCGGGGATCTTTTCTTGGAGATTTCCAATGGAACCTATCAATGTAAGTCAGACTTGGGGATGGGGGAGAGTGTGACCAGGACCCTGGCAGCCAGGCTGCAGCTGCGTTTGTCACTTGTCATCATTATCTCCACTCGGGCTGCTCCTGCTGCTAAAGATAGTGCCTGAAACCAGCGGTGTCATTTTAGTTGAAGATAATAACTTTAATTTTAGCTCAGAGTTACTCTTTTTCAAAGGCTTCTCGACCTTTGACTCAGGGCGTTATTGCACGGCTGAGTTTGACAAGGTGAAGGATCGCCTGGCCGCCCGCAGCAGGACAAGGCGCAGATGGGGGTTCCCGGGCACAGAGGAGGGGTGCTGACGGCAACTGAGACAGGGGCGGCTGGTTAAGACAACAAGGCGGCATTTCAAGATTTTTAAACTGATACTTCCCACCACGCCAGCGCGCGCACAGTCACAGCATGCGCGGTTCCCTGGAGTTGATCCTAATTGGTCTCCTTGCAACAATGCAGATCGCCTCCTTAGGTAAAGCCGGCCTCGAGATTCCCCTTAAACACACCATTTCTAGGGCAAAATCCCAGGGCTGTCGGGACCAACCCAAAGCGCTGAGGCCGCGTGGACGCAGTTACCCTGAGTCTCCCTTCCGAGGGCGTGGAATGCGTCTCCTCCTTCTCCCCCAAGGCTGGCAAGTAGCCATGACAAGGCACCAAGGGGTGGTGTGGAGGATTGTGGAGGACTGTGCGGAGTCCCCAGCTCAGAGACCCTTCCTTCCACAGGCCTCGCGCACGGCCTCTTCTCGGCACCCTTGGCTTGGGGCTTTCTTGTCACAATGACCTTGAGGTCCAATGTGTCCAGCTTGTGGGGTGATGTGGCTTCGACAGAGACATGTGGCCCGGTCACTGCTGTGTGACAGTCACAGCTGTGCCATCGAGAGACCTTGGGCAGATCCCTCCATTTTCCGAGTCTTGGTTTTCCCCCAAACTCCAGGTCCCCGATGACCCCACTCCAGCCCCTCTGCTGCCCGCAGGGCTCGGCCAGTCTGTGTGCCCCATGCTGTCCTCCCTGTCCCCTTCTTCAGGTCTCAGCTCAAGTGTCACCTCCACAAAGAGGCCTGCCTGGCCTCCCCCCAACCCCAGCAGGTCGCTACCATTGCACCCAAGTTATTTTTGGCTGCTTTTCCTGCTTGACGTCCATCTCCCTTTTCCACGAGCAGCTCCAGGGGAGGCCACCTCTGTGTCATGGAGCAATAATCTGGGGTCCAGCCCAGAGCCTGGCACTTGGAGGCCCTTAATAAACATTGACTGAGTGGATGAACAAATGAAAGAAAAACCCCAAAATTAAGGGGCAAATCTGAAAGGCCCTCTGGACCCTCCCAGTCCGAGTCCAGGATATCCCGCATTGTACCTTGTTGATGTTCCCGTATGAAGTTCCCTGGAGCCCCCTCCCTGGCAAAGCAGGGGGCTTCCACCTCAGGGTCTCCCATTTTCCTCTGTGGCTCCCCAAGGACAGATAAGCCAACAGGGTGGACTCTCGGTGGACACCCAAGTTAACTTCAGCTGCGGTCCAAGTTCAAGGCCCCCCACAGCTTCCCCCCGTCTCCCCTAGACCTGTCCTCTCAGTAGCAGGAGTTTAAGCCGCCACCCCCGGTTGGCACAAATGATTTTTCTGGGGCCACTGTAAGTGGACGTGAACCCTCATCGTCAGCGGTGCAGGGACCGGTCTGAGCAGGCTGGGGAGGTCCTGGGGGGCATCGGGTCACCTTCCAGCTCCCGCATCACCCCATTCACCTTCATTTACACAGAGGAGAAACCGAGGCTCAGAGAAGTTTCATGATGTGTCCCGAGACCATCCCGCCCCCGACCCAGGCTGTCCCTTGGGGGACCCGGAGCTGTTATGTTGCCCCCACCCCAATGCTATGGGTTCGAGGCTGACGGTCAGGAGTGTCCCCACAGAGGTGGTGGCCCGCCTGACGGTGTCTCTGTTGCTTTCCAGCTCAGAGCCCATGCCGTGGACATGAACGGAAACAAGGTGGAGAACCCCATCGACCTGTACATCTATGTCATCGACATGAACGACAACCGCCCCGAGTTCGTCAACCAGGTCTACAACGGCTCCGTGGACGAGGGCTCCAAGCCAGGTGAGCCGGGGCCGCGCCCGCTCCCCAGTGACGGGCAGGCTCTTCCCGGCCGGGACGGGCAGGGGCCGGTGAGTGAGGAGGCCCACCTTCTGGGGAGGGCACCCAGCCCCCCACCACCATGAGGGCACCATGGAACTCGTCCATCGAGGTTTATTTGGGGTATTTACCGAGCACCCACCACATGCCAGACGCTGCACTAGGAATCGAGGTCCCTGCTCCACGGACCTCACGGTCCAGAGGGGCACGCAGACAAAAGAGGTGCGTGAGCAACTGGATGAGGCCGTTGCAATACTGATAAGGCTTGAAGGAGGGCCACGGGCGCTGAGAGCCATGGGGTGGTCGTAGATCAGGGAGCCTGTCTGCGGAGGTGACATGTAGGCCGAGAGCTGAAGCGTGAGAAGGAGCAGTGTGCAAAGACGGGCTGGGATCCGGGCGTGTGCTAGAAGGGAGCATGAGGAAAGGAAGAGCACGTGGGGAGGGCCTGGAGCAGGAGGTAAGGTCAGACAGAAAGCCACCGAGGTCTCCTGGGCCACCCTTGGGATTTGATTCCAAGCACCCCAGGAAGCCGTGAGAGCCCAAGGCGTGAACCCGTGTGGCCGAGACCTCAGAGCTGACCCAAGAGCCCGTCCTCCCGAAGACTTCAGTCCAGCACAAATGATGACGTCACTTTGTTGTGAGCCGGGGCCCTTGCTAAGCGTGTGATCTGTCTGGTCTCTGGATCCCAAAACCACCAGGAAGTGGGCACCCTCCCTCTCCCCTTAGCAATGACGAGACTCCAGGCCCGAGGAGGGGAAGCAAGCAGCCCAGACCCCCGTGTGTATGTGGATCCGAGTCCCCAGCCGAGGCAGGAACCTTGGCCGGCCTGCTCCCCGTGTGACCCAGAGCAGGGACGAGCAGCATCACCTGAGAACATGTCAGAAATGCAGAGTCTCGGCCCACCCCCACTGATCCAGACTCTCCACAGGTGGGCCTGTGCTCTGGGGGAACAAGGCTCCCAGGTCATTTCTGTGCTTGGCAGAGTTTGAGAAGCACAGCCCCGCACTGCTGTCTCCTGACGGGGGTCATCCTTGGAACAACTGCCCAGCTTGGTTTGGGCGGGGGAGTTGAGCCAAGGTCACTGAGGAGGCTGTCACTGAGGCTGCCAAAGTAGCCACTAAAATAACTAAAATACAGAAGGCCTGGTTACATTTGAAGTTCAGAGAAACAACGAATCATTTTTACCCTTAAGCATGCCACTGCAGCATTTGGAACATACTTGGAGTGAAAAGGTATACCTTGTTGATCTGAATTTCCAATGTCACTGGGGAACTGTATTTTAGCGGGCATCCCCACCCCAGCTCTCCAGTGAGCACACCATCCTGGAGGGATTCCGGGCTCTTGGGAACACCTGTGGCGCTGGGCAAACTGAGGGCGGAGCGTGCAGAGCCCGGAGCCGAGGAGCTGGGAATGCCGCACTCGAGCGGGCTCCCTCGGAGGGGACAGCAGGCGCCCTGGCTCGGGCCGCGAAAGCAAACATTTGTCTTCACTTCCCTGCTGGAGGGCTGTCATAGCTGCATCTCCAGGGGCTGCTGTTTCAACAAGGTGAATTGCGTTTCTGATTGATTGTCTCCAAATCATGAGACGCCGGCCAGCCCAGTGTCAGCGAAGGGAACGGGATGTGACATTTTTTCTGCCGGAACCTTAGGCACTTGTCCCCATCCCTGTAGTCCCTTGAGGAGCAGGGGCAGGTGGTGGATGGGCAAATTAGCTTCAAAAAGCCAAAGAAAACGTATGAGGGCTGCCAGCAGCCAGCTCTTTAAGAAGCTGGGGGTGGGGGAGTGGGTGTCAGGTTTGGGGGGGCTTTCTTGTTAACACAGAAGCTTCTCTCTCCCCAAGACCCAGAACGCTCTGTAAAGGCACCTCGATTTTCTATCACAGATCAAACCTCCCATGTCTTATTTTAACACAAATCAATAGAGAAAGTCTTCCCAAATGTGTACCTGGCTTTGCTCATTAGGATAACAGAAGCAGCAAATCGCTGTGTCTTGAAATCCTGACAAGCCTTTAAGCTGGGAGCCAGGAGCAGCTACCGGTCCCCTTGCTGGCAGGGGCCTTTGGAATGCTGGGCGTGGCCTGGACACCAGAAGGCTACTGTTGATCCCCTCTCTTCCCTTTCATGCCTGCGCCCGTCCAGGCCTGTTTGCGCTAAATGTTGCCTGAATTTCAGAGCCCCTGGGGGACCCCAGAGTCTGTCTCGGGTCCCAGAACAGCCCTCAGGGGGTATCAGTGATGCCACCTCATTGTGCCAGCCCAGGACAGAGCTATGCGAGGCCCCCCTGGGACCGAGCTTGACATCCTCACTCACCCTGGTCAAGGGCGAGGACTGCTGTCCACACAAAGTAAGCCATGGTGTTCTTCAGCAGGAAACTCCCCAGGACCTGGAAGCAGGCTCCACGATTTCTTTCCTCACATGAGTAAATTACCCTAATAGAAGGGTTTTACACAGTGCCTTTGTGGGATAAGGAAAAACCACCGCCAGAAATTAGTCATTATTCTCTGGAATGATGGGCTAATGAAGGGTTTCAGATGTACGTTCTAATGGAAAACAAATGGAAGGATACATTCAAAATTGACTCAGCTGGATAAGAGCCTTTTAAGATTTGGGTTGTTCACTTGGGGATGTTAGCAAGCAGTCGCGGGCTGGGAATCCCAGGCCCGTCCCAGCTTACTCCCACGTTCTTTTCCCAGCCCCAGGCCCCCCTCAATTTTATGAAATCCTCTTTGGCATTGCTGGGTTGAAGGGACTCAGAGGGTGTGGAAGGCCCGGATGGCCCCCTTTGGTGCAGCAATGTTCGTTGTGTGTTGGGATCAAGAATGTCCCCCCACCCCCGCATCACAGCCATTAGATCTCTTTAGTAAGCAGGGAGCGCAAACCCATCTCAAATGCCCCTGGGGAGAAGGGAACGTAACTGAGAAGTCCGGAGATGGGTGTGGCTCAGGAACGGTGAAGTCCAGAGTCTCGCTTGCCACTGTTGGACCTTCTCTCCTCCGCGTTGGTTCCTTCTCGGGAGGAGTCTCTCCTCCTGTGGCCAAGACGCCTCAGCAGCTGCAGGCGTGTCCCTGAGCATCGGACGGCCCCAGGGGAGGGAGCACCTCTCCTCCAGTCCCTGCCAGAGCCCCGGGGCAGATCCTCATGGGTCACGCGTCCATCCTGAGCCAGTCCCCGGGGCTGGTGCATAGACTAGGAGCATTTTTCAGGCACAAACAGAGTCCAGTTCTAGATCCCACCCCAAGTCATATGGTCTGAGCATGTGGCACCCATGGATCCCCAAGGAAAACCAGACGGTTGCCTCAGAAAAGGGGGCTGGATGTCAGGTAGACTCAAAGGGCAGACGTGCACCACCCGTGCCAGGATGAGGGCCGCACTGGGGAGGCTGGCTGCCCCAGACCAGTGCTGTCTGCTGGAACTTTCTGTAATGGTGGAAATGCTCTATGTCTGGGTTGTCCGATACAGTAGCCACTAGCCACCTGTGGCCACTGAGCACCTGAAATGTGGCTACTACAGCTGAGGAGCTGAAGTTCTACTTTTATTTAGAATTTAAATAGCCACACGTGGCTAGTAGCTACCATCTTGGGTAGCCAGTTTTACTGGGTGATTTTGGTGGTCCCCACCCAGACAGGGCGTGAAGCTGATGGTCACAGCAGCAGTCCCTCCTAACCTCACGGAGCATCTGTCCCCTCATGGTCATTGTCTCAAACCCTGGATGAGGAACTAGCGGGCCGGGGGCCACCAGAGCCCCTAGGAGACTCCATTCACCGCTCCTGAGTAAGAGCGGAAGTGGAAACGTGTCGGCTCCCCCTTCGAGTGTGGCTTGCGAGTTCCCACCCCAGGGGTTTTCTCACGCTGGGGCCCACCCTGCCCTGTGCTCACCCCACCCCCGCCTTCCTGCAGAGCCCACCTCAGCCTCCAACCTTGATCTGTGCCCCGCCCTGCTGGGCCCACCCCCCTTTAAGGGACCATCTCACGCCCCGGGCGATGGCTATCTCTGAGGTGACAGCATTTTGCACACATTCTCCATCTCTGTGGGCTCCCACTGCCCACTGCAGGTGGGCAACTGATGTGAGTTCACGTCTAGCAAACGGGTCTTACGTAAGTGGTCGTGTCCACCAAGGCCTTCTCTCCCTGGCTTTGAAATTGACCCTGACCCTCGTGAGTTCAGATTAATAATAATTAATAACAATTACATATCTGTAATGCAGATGTTTTCCATAAAGAAATGAAGTTTCCTTGATTTCAAGTACACTAGAAAGTGGAACCAAAATTATGGTCCCCAAGAAAAAAGGACCAATTGAAACGAGATGGGAGGCCCAGGAGGACCACGGAGCCCAGTGCTCAGCAGGGCCTGGGGTCCTTGCAGGTGTCTCCAGCCCCCAGCTGGGCAGGAAGCAGAAGGGCCAGGCGTTGTACCCCTCACACAACCTACCCAAGCATCACCATCCATCCGATTCATAAATGGGCTTCCAGGTAGGATCTCACTGGAAGAAGTGTCTTTTTAAGAAATCTTATTTTGAGATAATTGTAGATACACATGCAGTTGTAGCAAATGATACAGAGAGATCCCACAAACCCTTCACCCAATTTCCCCCAAAGGTAACATCTTGCAGAACTATTGTGCAAGATCACACCAGGGTGTCGACCTCGGTGCATCCATGGACCTCCCTCCGATTTCAGCCGTTTTACATGCACGCGTTTGTGTGTGTGTGTGTGTGTCTGTGGTTTTATGCAGTTTCATCACGTGTGTAGATTCGTATGACACCACCGTCATGACACAGAACAGTTCCATCGTAAGGACCCCTCACATCGCCCTTTGGAGCCACAGCCACCTCCCCACCACCCACCATCCCTCACCCCTGCAGCCACAAATCTGCTCTCATCTCTGATTTTGTCATTTCCAGACTACTGAGTAGATGGAATCATAACAGGACGTTATCTTGTGGGGTTGGCTTCTTTCGCTCAGCTT